AAAGCTGCTTGGGTATTCCCAAGGTTATAATTTCACTGAGAAATTCTCTTATGTCATAAACTGAACGAGTTTAGTTGAACTATTTAGTCACAGGAACCCCAAGATGAAAATTGTAGCCTTGTAAAGTACAGCAGGCAAGACTTCATTCGTTAACAGCTTTAAGAGGGCCGTCTGTAATGACTAAATCTTCTCTAAAGACTTGAGGATCTAGTAAAATGATTTTCATACCTGAAAAACGAGTGGGTTTTTTCCCATCTTTTTTTGCCATTTTCTCTTTGAAGGAGAAAATGTCACTTTTTTATTCAATCAACAAGTAGTTTATAAGTGTTACCGGCTTAAATTTGATCATAAAAGAAGAGAAAGTTTGAACTACTGTAACTTTTTATCTGGCTTGGATAAAATTTCAAAGTGCTGTCACTTGAGTCACATTATCCTCTGCTGACGTCAGTGACATATCAAAAATAATCATACAGTTCTGACAGAGATTAACCAATGCTGAGTTTATACTGAATCTATAGAAAGGTCATGAAGTACTTACATATTATTCATATCATAGTTACCTTTTCGGTCTTCAACTTAGAATGACAAATGTGTTTACTCTAAATCATGCAGCAGACAAAAACCCCAAACAAAACTAGACCAAACAAAATGACATATCTTAGCAAAAGCTAAAGTAAAAGCAAAAGCTGAGAGCAAGAGCAGCCTACTGCCTAGATCAAAGCTTTATTATTTTATAAATCTTAGCAGATCTGTGTTGATTTGTATAGGTCATCCTGAAACAGGTAACTTTAATGAATAATTTGAGAAATAAAATGCAAAAGAGAGGAGTTTTTAGAGAATACATTTGATGTCTTTGTTCTCTCTGTCCTTGATAATAGAGAAGTTATTTGGCATAACTGCATCTACTCTGTATAATAGAAAGTTAAACCAAAATAGAACTAGCACATGCTTCATTTGTGTCACTTCAATGATATGCACAGAAAAATCTTGAGAGACCTATCAGGAAGCACATTGGCATGCACTATATTTTACATACAAATGTAATATGTAAGTTAATAATTTATTTACTGTATATTTTATGGATTACTTTTGTGGGTGAGACAATACCTGTGCAGCTCTGACACAAGAAATGAGATTCAGAAATTGCCTGGCATGTGGTAACATGATACTGTAGTACCAAACACCTATACCACCTGACGTGTGCTGCTTCCAACAAGAATCAGCAATAACCAACTGTGGTCTCAAGACGCCAGTTAATAAAACAGAACCTCTAACTTTCCATGTTGAGTAAGACTGGAATATATTCATATCTGCAATTACTTGTTTATGTGCATGCATAAAAATGTATTTTAAAAACCAATACATTTGCAACTATATGTGTTTTACATTATATATGAGCATACTTAGCATACGCAATTTATTGCATATCAATGTAGAGGAATTCTGAATCAATCTTATCACCAATTGTCTAAGTTTCGCTTTGTTTATTCCTCTCTACTTTTTAAGTATGCTGTGGCATGTTATCTAATAGGTCTCCAAGACAGAGGTTATTAAATAAGGGAACAATATGAGAGAAAGCAATTTTTAAAGAAGGTTAGATAATCAGGTCACTTAAAAGAACCGCTATCACACATTTCTCAACATTTTCGAGACTCAGTATCTACTTCCAATTGAAAGATAGTTGTATTTTTCACGGTGGAAACAATATTTTGTTTTCAAACTTTCCTGGTTTCAACAACATAAGCACTTCAGGAAAACGTTGATTTGCGTGAATTTATAGCCCAGATGGGTAAGGCCAATATTGGCCACAAAATGCTAACTTTTTTGTCAATTATTTCAAACAATGGATGAGTGGTTTCCATCAGCACTTGCAATATGTAATTTACTGAGTATTTCGGGCTATTCTTTGGCATCTTAATTTCTCCAGCAGTTTTCCCATGTCAAAGGCAACTGACTACTATCTCAGTTATTTATATTTCCAAGTGAATTAACAAAGGCAGCTTTCATAGTTTTCTTCGGTGTTTCATACCACAGATATGCCTGGTTGGAAAAGTAGGTTTATATTGAATCGGCCTTGAAAATAACTTTAAGATGATTTATGGAAAAGGATTTCACATAATGACTGCATTTGGTAAAGCTGAAAACTTCTTTGTTGGTTTTGTGACTTTGAGATGTTCCCAAGGCCTGGGGGATGAACTCTATGTCTTCAGCCCTTCTTCTAGAGATATCAAATCCATTACATAAAAAATGTCCTCAAACCTATTTCCTGCATTGTTTCTGTTGTTCTCTAAGGAACAGTGTGTTACAGAAAACAAACTTGCAAGGAAATTCAGAGCAGAGATTTTTTGCAAGTAATTTGTTACCCTTACAGGAAAGATTATTTTGCTTTTTAACAACCTCCAGTAAAGTCCAAGTCTGAATCCTGTGAAGTGCAGAGCACCTAGTGGTACTGCCAGAAAACAGCTCTTGTCTTCAGCAGGCTCTTATGGCTCTTGGAAATTTCTATCAAGCCTACGACACTTTTCAGGGTTTGTCTGCAAATAAACATGATCTTAAATCCAACAGTTCAGGAGAATGAAAATAAGACAATAAAATGACCATCCTACATGGTCTGGAAGGATCTCAAAACAGTTGTGGTTGTTATCAGCCTAGACAAAACCACAAGTCATGACTTTATTCTGAAACAAGAAATGTTCACTTTAATTGGCAGAAAAAATTAGCTACGTCCAACATCAATTAAAGAAGGGAATGAATGCTTGGGAAAGGGCAACATGACTGTTTGACAAGCGACAAATATTGGAGATTAGATGGAGAAATTAACACCTGAAAAACACCCAGAAACTTATGTGAGTGACCTGCTCTGTATTTGTCTTGAGTACTCTTTTATATCAGCACATAAAAAACCAGAAAGTCTTCTTTTCCTGTTCTACCTTGAACCCCCCTCATGTTCTGTCACTTTTAGCTACTTAATGCAGAAAATCATGCTTTACATAGTCAAAGGAAAGAATAGAAAAACAGTAAAAGTGATTGTATAAAAGTGGTGGTATAAAAGCAGTTTGATGCCTCCTTTTGTATTTGTAGGAAATTAAAAGAGCCCCCCATTGTTGAGAATGAAAGACTATTGTTCTGGAAAACCAAGAGCCATTAAGCTAGTTACACATTTGCATTGATTTGGTGAAAACTGAATGAAGTTAAATTAATACAAACCAGATGTAAACCAAGTTAAATGTGTTCACATAGGGGTTTTCAATAGTTTAATTGATTTAAAATTATTTTTGTGCATAAACAAGACCATATATCTTTTTTTCTTCTCATTTGCAGACTGAAAATTCGGTAATCATTTCAATTTGGATTTTGATAACTCTACATTAAAAACATAGCTGTATTGCTATGTAAGCATGAGTCTCCTGATAATTAATACAGTGTATGCCCTTTCAGAAAGAGACCTCAAATTCATGTTTTCTTTGTAGCCAAATACCATACGCAAGCAGTTCTCTTCAAACCTGGTGCAAAGACACCTTGGGTGGCAGAATCAGAATCACGTCATTGTGTTTGGAGGAGGACGAAATGGTATCCTGAGTCTACACTTGTACATTGCAGTGTATGTAATATCATGCAAGCTCTATAATAATGCTCAGGAAAATATTAATACAGAGCCTGGCCATGGGCACAATGGGCTTCTCCGGTACAGTAGGAAGAGAGCATTCCTGGGGTCTCTTCATCTGTCCCACTTCCATGTCCATGCTTCTTCCTGAAAAATTCCTTCTGTCAAATGGACATTAGCAGCAACTTACTGTCATGCATGTTCCATGCTATTTATCAGAAAAGAAAGAGAAAAACACTTCTTAGGACAAACGAAAATGAATAATGTCATTTAAATTTCATATTGCTATACTGACAATAGTGTAAAACGATGACATATTTTTTTGTGATTAAAATTCTGCAATGGCATTGACCTGAAATGCGTGTTTAATATCAGATCTGTTCCTGAGTATGTACTACTATACTATCCCTCTAAATGCTTTATTGTTCGCATTTTTTAATACTCATGTCTATTCCTTCAAGTTTCCAAACTGCCAGGGGTATGAGCTGAACAGGCATCTCCTGGTATTTTGGTTTGTAGTGTGACAGATTTGCTACCTGTAAATATGAGCAGGATTGGGAAACCATTCCTCTTCTGCAACTGAGAGAATCACTGGCTATTTTCCATCAATATTTATGGCATCTCAAAATGTCAAGAAGTCTTTAGGCATTGCTGAAGAAAAGATGTGTTTGTCTTAAACTCTCTCAATATCTCCATCTCTGCATCTCACCCCTCACTGACTTTCTGTGGTGACACTTTTGACAAGGGAACAAGGTACAGTCTAAGGTCTTTACCTGTGGTCCTTAAAATCAATGGCTTGGTGAACACACAGGCAGAGAGGAGAAATTCACAGAACTACTAAAATAAGTACTAAAAGTTTCTGAAAAGTGAGGAGTAAGGATGGCCCATGGCCATCAACATGATGGACCGGAGGGATGACATTAATGTCATGTAATACAGAAATGAAGGACAGACCATTTCTGAGGTGTAAACCTGTACACACAGAGGTAAATGCTTCTGTATGTACATATAAAGTAGAAGGAATACAGTACTATATCAAAAAATGGAACAATGCTGCAGACTTACTCTATAGCAATGTACACATACACATGTAGCAGAAATAAAGATTCTGCAGGAACTAATACTTGATTTCAGGAGAAAAGTGATCGAGTTGTTAAATTAAACCAGTTTAAAATAGCAGGTGCTGAAAGTTTCATACATCTAGCCATTCAATGTGTCTCCTTAAAGGCCAAGATGCACGTATAACATGCTAAGCTCACTGAAACTTGTATTTATTCTTCCTAGTTTGTTTAAAACCAATAACTCTTTGTCATAATAAAATAGACATAATTTACAGCATTTAATTATAACTTTAATTTTATTTAATTAACATTAAAATTAAATTTGTATAGCAGATTTCATAATAATGATGCAAACAATTAATTAATCCAATTTAAAATTTAGCACTTGATGCATTTACTTGCTAAAAACTGTAAACTTCTTTTTAATAAAAGTTAATAACTGTGATTTGATGAGTTATTTTCTGCCCCACTGCGGATGTTTTCATGATTAAATATTTTACATCTGGTAAGTCAAGATGTACTATTTTCTCCTCATCAGAATTTTGTGCAGGCTGAAGTCACTTCCATTCTCCCAGAGCAGTAAAACCACTTGTAAATCTAAATCATCAGTTCCCACAGTTCTGTTTTCTTATCTCTTTTCCATTGCAAATAGCTGCAGGAATTCTTCACCTGAAAAAGATGAATTCTTGTCAGTGAATCATGCTCTCTTTTTTTGTTTCAGGGCTCTCTTTGAGTTTCTGGGATGCTTGAATTGAGGGATCCTAACACCTGTATGAAAACTATTGAGGCCTCTGAATCTTTGTCACAGGCTACCCTCCTCCAAGGTACTCATTACTCACAAAAAAGAAATTAAAAAAATCTGAAAAGCAGATTCCCCCGTGTCAGAATTTTACTGGTTCTCTGACTAACGGAGATCCCTCCTGGGTGAAAATGTCCTATATTGAGGTATTAAACAAAAAGTGGTAAACTTCCTAGAATTTGGAAATTCTTCTTCTATAAAGCAAGGAGTAATAAAAAGACAGAGTTTACAGCCTAAGAGTGGATATTAGTGACAACTCATGTATTTCATTTTGTTCTCCTCTCTGGTCACTGAGGGTGACAAACATGCTCCTTATATTTCTAGTAGGTTACATTAAAATGTAGTCACAATTTCTTAGCAATAAAATCAACATGAGATTCAAGTTATGGAGGAGATGGGCAAACCTCTTTTCCCCATTCTAAAAATTCATGGCACTTCCTATCCTATTCCTATTTCTTTCGGTGGATATGAAGAGTTTCATGAAAGTATAGAGAGACCTTTTGGTCTGTCTTCGTGTTGAATTTGCCTATCACACTAAAAATTCATTGGATCAGAAGCTGCCTGCAATTGTATATTTGTACAGTGTTTATTATAATAGGAATTTACTCCTCAGTTGAGACATAATACACATTGTTGATAACAATAATTTCAAGCTGTGATAAAAGTTATGCCTCCCAACAGTTTCTCTGCTTCAAAAATGATACTAAAATCAAGTAGTAAACTCTGGTCCTCAAAATTTGGCCTTCTGGTTTGCTTAGGCAGTGCTTTGTCATTTTAAAATATTGCCTGTGTTTATCTTAACTTTGGATAACTATGTCAAGCTTAGAGAAAATCCCATTGTAATCAACGTGTGTTTCTTTTTTTACTTGTGTACCTCTACTTTCTTCCTATTGTCATTATTTTACAGTGCTTCGACACTGTCTCGAGAGCTCACAGCCAAAAGGACAAATAACAGCGGAAGGGAGAGAGGAAGGTGCAATTGGAATACATTAAAAATTTCTATGCATCTTTCCCTTGGAGCATATGAAAAGTCTAATCTAGTTTTAGAGGTGCTAAAAATTCCAGGAATATGTTCTATACTTGTACTATCATCTCAGTCACAAACACAGAATTGGAATTGTCTTTTAATGGTTTTTTTCAGCTATAACGTGGCAAGGAGCCATATTGAGGGTAACTCACAATTATTATGCTGTATCATATCTTTCCAGTCCACATTTGAGTAAACGTTCAAACATATTTCAGGAGGTACATAACTGTGTTAGCATATGTTTGCATTGAAGTGCATTTGCAACACATCTAGAGTTGCATAGTCTTGCAAACACACACAAATTCCCTAACAGTCAAATGAACTTACTTTATCCCATTTTATTCCCAGAAATTAAACCTAAATTAGTAACCTATTTAGACAACATTTATTGCCTGTTTCTCTGATGTGATGACTAATTAAGGCAATAAAATACTTATTTATGCTATTCAGATTATGTATTGGGATTTGGGGAGGGGAGCTAGGTTCAAAATGCAGCCCCAGGGCTGAATATAGAGATAATGCATCATTCTATAACAACTTTCTTCTGTAATTCACAGAACAGTCACTGCACAAACACCATCTTTCACCAGGAAATAAGGTTGTTTCTTAAATCTAATGCACAACAATGCTTCCAAGACACGCTTTAAAATCAACTGTGCCTTCTCATGTTATAATTGTAATCTGTGAGTATGTCGGAAAAATAAACAGTTAAGTTCAAGTTTAAAACAAAGCAAAGCAAACCAAAACAAACAAAACCCCTGCCCCATCTGTCAGATTGCATGTATGACATCATCAGATATTCTGCACTTATTTGCAGCCATTCAGACCAACCTACCCCACAGTCTAAACTTTGTGCTGCAGCTCTCTTTACAGGATCAGCGGGCTGGAAAATTACCACATGCTGTCACAGTTAGCTCAGCCAGGTCTTGTTATCATTGTTTCCAATGAATCCATTCATTCCATTATTTTGCATATTGGGCAGACGTTCTACCGCAGAGACTTGAGCCTCAGTAACTTCAAGGGCCAAATGTTAATGGACCCCTATTTTCAGCAGAATAGCAGTGCAATACATGGGAAAAAATACCCAGACAGCTCACTGACACTGGTTTAGGACCTCTAGACTTAGGGTGTACCCTGTAAAGAGCTTTTATGTAAACAAAGCTTCAATAAACAAAGAATATCTTCTCCGTCAATATTCATAACCCATAAATTTTTCCTTCTTTTCCCCCTCCTTCGCCCCACAGAGCAGCATAGCTCTTCAGATGCAAAGAGGCAAGAAAGTGGTATGTATGATCAATGGCTTTTGCATAGCAAATCCGTAGGATGTGTGCAAGAAACCATACAACCAATCCTGATTTATAAGGGATATTATAGAGCTCATGACTGGAACAAAGCAGTTTTATTTTGAGCTTGCTCTACTATCTGTGTGGCTGATAATGGAGCATGTGATTGTGGAAATTTAAACATGTGATTTGTGTATGCGATGGCTGATGTGTCAAAATGAAGGCACAGCATGTCTATCTGTAATTCCTGGGCATGGAATTTAAGTAAAAGGATAACAGTAATGACAAATTTTATTTTCCTCTTAGGAAACCAAAAAGCTAGGCAACGCTCAGGAAACACATAGTAAATTTTGAGCATTCAGAAGAAAACATACATCAGCATAAAGAAAAATGTGTTTAAGTTACAATGTTGCCCCCAAATCTTGATGGTGTTTTTATTTTTTGGTTAGTTTTGCTTTTAGGCCAAATGTTATTCTCAGTGGTTTCCCATCCACATCCTTGACTTTAATGAGCTCACTAGAACTTGGTTCTAATATGAAAGAGCTCTTGGAACAGGCTTCCCAGGGGAATGGTCGTGGCACCAAGACTGTCTGAGTTCAAGAAGTGTCTGGACAACACTCTCAGGAACATGGTGTGATTCCTGGGGCTGGGCTGTGCAGGACCAAGAGTTGCACTTTGATAATTCCAACTCAGGATATTCTATGACACTATGATTACTTTCGGATAGCTCCACTGGCTCCAGTTCTTTCACCCAGCTTTACCTGATCATGGATGGGGATACCTGATCGTCCATGGGGATGGAAATTGGTAGTGCCTCCAAAGGGGAGGCATCCCTGCCATTGCCAGCTATGACATCTCAGGGGTCCCACTCTTGTTAGAAAGAAATTCCTCCTTCATATTCCTTGATTTGAACAGAGTAAAGTGAATAAGATTAAAAATGTTTCTTGAGAACAAGTTGCAAAATCCTTCATTCCAAGAAGGAGTCAGTTTAAAAATAGGTTAAAAATTAATCCAAAAAGAGAGAGAGAGAGAGTGTCTCTGTATGCCTGGGGCTTCGCTGCCAGATCTGAATAAACTCTCCTGTTCCTGATACCAGGCTAGCACTCAGGAGGGAAAGGGTCTGACCTTGGCGTCTGATGCCGGCTGCATTTATTTCAGGTACTAAGTATTCTCTTCCTATTATTTTCACTGCCACTGGACAACAAAGGTCTTGATAACATGACCTGGCTGCTCTCACTGTGACAGCATTTGGCAATTAGCTGAATCCACTGGTATTTTGAAAATTGAAAGTCTCAGCTTTTCTAACTTGTCTGTAATTAGAATAGCTGTTATTTCAGTTAATTTTGTGGTATTGATAGTGTGAAGCTCTCCAAGGAGCCTCACAAAAGTCAACAGCACAATATATCTTGTTTTCTGCAAACATTTTGAGAATATTAGGCCATGATCCTGAATGTATGAGAAGAATTCATGGTATCTCTCTAAAGCCTGGCTAAAATATATTCCAGGTGGTAATAAGATATGTTAAAATCCTTGCACCATCCAAAAGCTAGATTAGCCCCTTTATATTTTATGTAACATGTTCTGTTTCAACTAGGATTATTTCTGTGTCTGGCAGCTAATTTTAAATAGTTCCTCTTTTCAGACAACATTAAGAGGCAACTGAAATAAATTAATTTTCCATAAATGTGTGTCAAGGCTAGATTTCCTAAGCCAAGACCTCCAAACAATCATCATAAAAATTTTGTAAACCATAGATAATATCTTGGAATAAAGAGAATTTTTCAGAGTATGAAATGTTTCATTAAGATAAACATTAGAACTTAGTGTTGCCACTTTTAATACAATATTTTCAAAAATATCTTCCAGAGTTTTAAGCTAAGCATAAAAAAAGGAGACAAAAAAAAAAGAGACTGAAGGGATGAGAGAACACAAGAAATAAATAACACTTTTATAAATTCAATTAGTTCAAGCAATCTGAAATGTGGTATTTTGTCCCTAATTCTTCAAGATTATTATACATGCATGTTTTTGCCAATGTACTTAGGAGATATGGGATCTGGAAGAAGTGAAACAGTAATGAATTAATAGGAATGGGCCTTGCTTTATGTGGTCTTTTAAAACTGTATTACAAAATACACAAATTGCATTATTCAATACTCCACTCTCTCACCAAGCTTAAAGTGTTAAAATTAACCACAGGCTTCAAGGAAACTTCCGGACTTGAAGTATAAGCACAAAAAGTGACTTTCATTATTTGCCTCAAGAATGGAGGCATTTATCTGAAATTCTGGGGAGATCTTGTTTGCATTCTCTGGTAGGACTAGATGCACCATAGCCCAGAAAGTTTAAAAACAAAAAACCAAAAGCAATAACAACAACAACAAAATAACTTACATGTTTGTTTTGACAGTCATCTTCTCCTAATAAAAGTGCAGGTAATTATATGACTGATTCAGTGTCCTGAACTGGAGAAAATAAAACAACCGCAGAATTTGCCACTGCCACTGAATTTGGTGGGATTTCAACCAAGAAATACTATTGACATTCATAAAACCCACAAGAAAGGGCATTCAAAGGCATACAAGGGCATTCAAGGACATACAAGGCATTCAACAACCTCTGCATTCTTGTATCTTTACCACCTTCCATTCCCTTTGCCAAAAAGGACTAAAAATATTTCAGCAAAATATGTGAAAACAAGATAGAATTTATCTATATGGCCCATTATAACAATTTTTCATAGTTACGTTCTGTTACATTTCTGTATTTCATGTTACACTAATATAATAGAATTTTAGCATTTGATTACCCTGGTAAGATATGACCTTGCAATCATTTAAAAAAATTTCATATCAGATTAATGAAGACAAAGGCTTACACATTCAAAAGACAGCATGCAAACTCCTAATAGAACATGACAATTTTTTTTTTAATTTTTGCTTGTGTATGTTGCTAATGTTTGTTTGCCTTTCAATATTTTCCTCCAATTTTTCATTATGGAACTTGGAAAATTACGACATTATCACTCACTTTTTGAAGAAGTAAGTAAACCAGGCAGCATCGTAGTAGTAGTCAAATTTTAAACCGTTATCATATGAAGAGCTGTGACAAGAAACGATGATTGCCATTGGGGAGGATTACATGAGAAAACAAAATCAGAAACAGTGCAATGAAACCACTGGAATTGGATGGAGATCAAGAAAAATTCCCAGAGGAGATATTTTTCTAATGATTCAGTAATTGTCTCAAAGAAGTGGTGAAAGCCCCTTTACATTATGTAGTCAATTTTAAACTGGAAAAAAAAAGTATTACAAGGCACTATGTGGGAAATAATTCCGTGGTAGGTGGTGAGAGAATCTGGTTGTTTTTATTTTCACTTCCTCCGATGCTATGATTCAAGACTGACTAGGAAGATGAAAGACTAATGGTGTTTAATGGATTGCTGAGATCTTGTTTGATTGCTACATGGTTGGTTTTTTTTCTTTCGGAAATTAAATAATTAAGGAAGAGAAGAAAAATACTGTTTTATAGCTTCTGGTTGTCTTTTTTCCTCTAGTCAGATTAATTTAAAAGGAGTGAATCAACACTCTCTCAGAGTCTGCACCACAGAAAAGAATCATCCATAATGCAGGTGGTAGAAAGGCAATGATGCAGCGTGCCTGCACTGGTGAATGAATTTCAGATGAAGACTTAGTGTATATTAACTTTCTGTTTCCCTTAATATTCTGTTGTAATTTGTCCTTTCTTGTATTTTTAATAAACTTCATAATACCTCTTAAGAATTTTTTAGGAAAAATTTCAGAGTGTCAGGAAAATCTGGAGATGACTGGTGGAAAAAAGATCATAGGTACTTTATTGCCTATGAAACTCTATAGCCCAATTCATAATCCTCTCAGGACCCTTTCTCATTAAGGCAGCATATTTTCTGGAGCTCACAAAGGATCTGACATACCAGGGAGGGTATTCTGGCAGTATCTGGAATAGGGAAAAGGAAGGAAATGATTAGAGAAATCCAGGAATGCTCCACTGTGATACACACCAATATGTAAAAGGTCATATGTCATGTTTTGCCTTGGGCTTGTGCCATCTCTGTGTCTCTTGACTATGAAAAGGGCAGATTGAAAGCAGCAGTTCCTGAATTTATTACCACAAGGAGCTATTTCTTTAGACTGAAAGGCTACTAATTACAGCATGCCTTGAAACCCATAATTCTTGTTGGTTTGGTTTGGTTTGTTTTTTTTAATGAACAAGGTCAATCATTTCTCTTCTACCGTCTGTTCCCCTCAGACTTTTTTCTTCCAATCCTAGCCTATGTCATTGAGATCTGAGCAATATTTTTGGCATCTTCTGGTGTGTTTTCATATCTCTCTTGTCAGCCTAGCTATGTTTTCTTCTTTGATCTTAATCAGGGCAATGGATAATTCAATTATTTTCACAGCATCCTGAACTGCTAGATGTCTTCTGCTTTTTTTCAGTAGATGCCGTAAAATTGCTATCATTGTTTCTGGCCTTTTTCCATGCTAGGTCTGTTCAGCTGAACAGCATTGCTTCAAAAGGAGGATGAGGGGGAACTTTCTTGCTCTCTACAACTATCTGAAAGGAGGTTGTAGCCAGGTGGGTGTCAGTATCTTCTCCCAAGTAACAAGTGATAAGACAAGAGGAAGTGGCCTCACATTGTACCAGGAGGGAGGATTAGATTGCATATTGCGAAAAACTTCTTCACTGAAAAGGTGGTCAAGCCTTGGAACAGGCTGACCAGGGAAGTGGTGAAATCACCATCCCTGGAAACATTCAAAAAGCATGTAGATGTGGTGCTTGGGGGCATGATTTAGTGGTGGACCTGGCAGCATTAGGTTAATGGTTGGACTCAATGATCTTAGAGGTCTTTCCCAATCAAAATAATTCCATGATTATATGTCATTAGCAGCATCTAGATGTCTGCCTAAGGCCGGACTATTTACAGGAAATGTCTGAAGCAATCTAGGAACTGAGTAAAGTAGATTACTTGAGAAGAAAATATCACTGGCAAAATAGCCACCCCTTCCCCTGTTGCGTTGCTCCTAAAGGTAGTGGCCTCCAGCAAGCTGAGCTCCATATGCCACAAAGGGCACCAAATAGAGCCTTTGCCTTCCCCACTTTAGAAGCTGAACCTTGAAGAACCCGCTTTGTTACATAAAGCTTTCAATCCTCAGCAATAGAACAGGCACAAGGTGAAATTCCAGCAATTACTATGGTTTCATGTCATGCTGAAGATCATAAAATGTTAGAAATAATAATGTTTGGAAGAAGTGCCCCTGTTGGTACTGTGTCTGTAGCATGCTACAGTTGTGTCTGTTGTATTTGAGATTAGGAGTTAACATCACCACAGGTCATTTTTAACATCCATTAAACAGACATAATAGCACAGTACCCTCAGCACAGGTGTGTTGCAAGGCTTAACTAATCATTGTGCTCTTGCAAAGTGCTTTGAGACCTCAAAATGAAATCTAACATTAACAAGAAAAGTATTATAGTTATGCAGCAGTTGGGGAGCAAAATCTCGGAGAGGCTGTAAATCTGCTACCAGTGTGTTTGCTGATAGGTCTGTCAGCTGAGGGAAAGACATGAATATTTAAACATTTATTTAATTATTAAACTGCAGGTCTACAAAAACCATACTCATGACTCCACTGATGTCCTAAGTGAATTCTATCTGTACTGTGAATCCAGAGCTGTACAACTAGGGAAATTCACTTTTCTTAACATGCTGGAAACTCAAATGGCAACTGCGGAGAATCCAGTTCTCAATATTTCACCTCCATCCCCCTTCAGAAGAACAGCCAATCCCCTTCTACCAAGCAGAATCGTTCTTAGATGTTCTGGAAACAATATTAGCCTCTTACAATTACTAACTGCAGGCAGGTTCAAAGTCCTACAAGTAGTTAAATTTTAAATTTCCTCTGTAATTTGCACATAAAGACTGTATTTTCCATTTGCTTCTCGCCTTCAGGCCCAACTCTGACACTTTTGGACTTCTCCCTTGGTGCTATATGTGTCCTCCAGACCCTCTTGGGTCTTGTATCTTGTGGACTGGAGTCAAAACTTCCTCTTCTGGTGGTTGATTACAGAGTTATGGGTGTCCTTAAGTGAAATACTCTCCTGAGACATCCTCAGCCCAGTACAGATGCATATGAGTCATTTCAGTTTAATGCATCTATGAGGCATCCCTCCTTATGGACAAAAGTGGTATGGTGTATGTAGTGCTTTGAATCTTGCTGATCACAAACTTGCTGCTTCCCATGTGTCAATTCCCATCGGGTTTGTCAGAGTACAGTGATTTTCCAAGATACTGGGGTAAAGGGACATCATGGACTAACTGAAAACACAGAGGAGATGTCAGCTGCCAACATGGTGTTTATCAGTTCAACAAAGTCTGTTTCTGGATGTTGGCTATTTCTTCAGTCCAGTTAAAACTTTGGTAACAAATATGACCTCTTCAGTACATTTATTATTGAAAAGCTTTTATTCATTGTAGCAATGTAAATAATCTTTTTCAAATAAACTGCTTGAAGAATTGGAAGCAAGAATTGGTACACGGAAAAAAAATTATCGGGGAATCCCCACTTCATAGGATTTGTCCGTATATTTAAATTAGATATTGCTAGTTTTGCATTCTGCTTTTAAAACTGCTTTGCCAGTTTATGGATAAAGTACAATTTCACATAACACGAAAATAACATCTTTTAGATACTGGCTATAGGACCAATACTTAATTCGGAAAGTAAGAAATGCATTGTCTCACTGTTGTACTTGGAAATATTCCTGAGGAGTCAAAGGAGCAGGCACATTTCAAGGGAAGAAACCTCCACAAGACAATAGGGATAAAGATTTTTTTATCAGTTAGAATTTCTTAGGGAAATAAACCAGCAGTTTTCATTAATAATACTAGAAGCAGTCAGAATCACACTGTCTGTCTAAAGATATGGTTAATGTTTTTGAGGAAAAAAATTTGAGAGAAAGGAAAGAGAGAACAAGCAAAGATGGTTCCTAATTCCATCTGTAATTTTTCCATCATCAAGGATTCAGACCTCTGTATCTTAAAATGTTTTTAAAGAGTTAATATTTTCCAGCGCTTTTGTTTTGTATCTATCCCATTCTATTCTATTCTATTCTATTCTATTCTATTCTATTCTATTCTATTCTATTCTATTCGTGTTATTTTGTTATGGTATGTTTTGTTTATGTTATGTTATAATAGAATCATAGAATGGTTTGGATTGGAAGGAATCTTAAAAATCATCTAGTTTCAACCCCACTGCCATGGACAGGGACACCTTCCACTAGACCAGGTTGCTCAGGGCCCCATCCAATCAGTAATTCTTATGTTTTGATGTAAGTGGATAGCTTAACTTTACATACTGTCAAGCTCTGAGAAACAGTGTTTGGAACTGTACGATTTGCAGCACAGAAATTGTTACGATCTCAG